TGCCTCGGCGGTTCCTCTTCCTGCAACTTTTACACGCCCATCCCGTATACAGGCATTTAGTCATCCTTATCAGGCTTGTTCCCAGGTGTCGCACCTCTCTACTCCAATCTTTTTCCCCCGCACTGCCAAACTGTGGAACACTCTCCCTTTGTTGTTTTTCCCCAACTTACAATTTTGCTCTTTTTAAACGCAGAATGAATAAACTGGATCCTACGTGAATGTTCCCACACTCTCCCCTTTACAGTATGCTATTTGTCCATGGGGATTTCCCCGTTTACTGTAATCCACATTGTACAATGAAAAATAATAATAATATATGGAATAATTGTAAAAGAACACCCAAAATCACTACTTTTCGGTAAGCAAAATAGACGAAAATGGCACTTAGTTCATTAATACCGTTATAGATTAGACGAGTGGTATGAATGACACAACGAATCNCATTCTCAGGAATCTGTAGATTAGTGAGGTGGGATTCATTGGACGTTGGATGTACGTCTGTTTCTCCATATTGCATCACCTGTCACCGAGCAATTCATTTTGCGTCCGTGATTCGTACATTTCTTGTGATCTCCTGCGTCGCTCACTATCCCGTTTATGTCACATAAAAGCACACTGCCTCCATCAACACGAGACACCAAATAAATGCATTTCACAAATGTGGTCCATAAAAGTACCCGGTATAGCTAACTAAGCTACTCAGGTGTTCTTTGTGGACCGTTTTTAGTATTTGAGGGTTGTATCAACCAGAAACAGGGCGTTCAAGTGACTGGTTTTCTTGCCCCCATGTGTGAAATTACAACCCAATTTGTGGCGTTTATCTAGAAACAGTTAAAAATGAAGAGAGACTATGAGAGCAATGACAGAATGAACAAGAGATTAAGAGACAGATAGTGGAATTAGAAAAATGCATTCCATGCACAGTCCAAATACTAGGTACTATTTGACTTCAGGCTGCAAATGTACTGCTCCTAACGATGATGATTTAACTGTCATATTTTTTTCTCATGATTGGACAGCATTATGCACGATCAATCGAAGCATATAAATTACCTGGGAACCGAAGTACGGAAAGCTTCATTCACAGGGATACGTCCTTTATCGTCCAGTTTAATTCCAACACCCTCCAAATTCAAACCTTTTGTGAACGGTCGCCGACCTATACACACCAACAAGGTGTCGCATTCAAGCTGATTTACGCGACGGATGGGGAGAGGAAGTGCGAACAGAGAAAAGAAATCAGAGAAAGAAGTTTAAGACCAGAGCCGCAGTGGAGCGCGCAAACCAATTTCGTTCACCTAGTTTGCGGCATAAGCGAAGCAGACCAGTACATTATCTTAATCGCTGTTGACGTATCCCACGGAAAAGAGAGAACCAACACACATGAAGAAACAAATTACGCTGGGGTTCTATCTTTATCAACGACCAAAAGGCTTAAAAAAGCTCCATATTTTTGCGCAAAGTACGAACCGCAAATATAGCTTCATCTACTTGTAAGTTTACGAACATTTTCCAATATGTGGTTTAAAAAGTGTACATGTCTATATACTTTGGAGCACAAATGTTTACCATTAGTGCGAAAAAATAAACGGGCCTTTCTAATGCATCATGCGCTCCTAGAACCGGGGCATTTAGTGACATGGTACTGGAACAATTGGCGTTCTGCGCCCAGCTTGAGTAGGCAACAGCTGTCCAATGAAGTGTGAAGACTCCTCCCACCGACGAGAGGAAACCCCAGCTAACCTGCTCGTACATCCATCTAACGGGTTCGTTGATCAGTAAACTGCCCCCGCCGCTTTTATTTGCTGGAGTGACCTCTCCAGGACCGAGTGGATAGTTAAAAGACATGAGGTGCTCAAGTAGCTGATTTTTTGAGACTGAACTTCGTTTGGCCTCTACCAATCGATCTCTCAAGCATGATTGGATCTGCGGCTGTAAAAAACCATTGTGTAGCTCGCAGGGTCATGGAGACTCACAAACCATCACACCACGTCAAGGTGCAGTTTCGTCGTGATGGCTATTTACTGTTTTCTCGTGGAAGAGGTGTTTCCCCACCAAAGTGAGAGGACAAAAAGCCAACAATGGGGGCTATAGGCGGGTTGATAGACCACTGGTAGTTCACCTATGGGAGCTGGCCAAAAACCCTGAATCCAAACTAACCAAGAAAAGGCGCACGAACCACACTCACTCAAACCATGATTATGACAGCGGTCACCGGCTCCATTGGGCATTGAGGCGTATTGGGTACCTTGTACGTTTGACCCTATAGAAACGGCGAATGATTCGGTGAACTGGACATCGGCCCCTAATGGATTGCGATTTTCACACACCACCCCGCAGATTTGCGAGTCAGGACTCGGTTAACGGAATCTTTCGGTTGATAATTCCCCATAAAATACACCTGCTTTTTTTATTACACACCTAGGTGTGATGAACAGCAGACGGGGTGAACCCCATAGTTACGCGGACCTGCTGTTCAGTGGTTGAAATCGGCAACCTAAGCCCCGGAACTTGGAGTGGGGAACCACATAAGGCCCCGATAGGTTAGGCGTGGTATTGAACCGGACGACAGCAGAGCTGCCTACCACCGAAGTCGGGTGGCGGTGACGGGGCTTGAACCTCGGACCATAGGGTCCAAAGAACGCCGGTGACAGCGACTAAACCACTGCGCCACCACCACCCCAGGCCTAGGCTACCTAGAAATGTCGCGCCCTTATAAAGATCATCGTAATGTGACTTGTTGCGCACATAGTATGGACTCAGATGCGTGTGAAAATATAACATAAATATAATAATAATAAAATATAATATAACAATAATATAGACATGTATGATCCCAAAGGAATAATAGTAATAACAGAGGTATAAAACAGAGCGAAATGGAGATCCGACAACTACAGTGGATAACAAGAATAACAATATTTTTGGTGTTTCATCGTGCAATTTTTGATAACTTTCTGCTCCATAGAGACGATAAACTAGCAGATGAGGTGAGTACAATACGAGGGGGCAAAGTCCATAAATCGAGATTAAAACCTTCATTACGTGTTTGGGTTCTAGTGGTTACCGATCTCTTAGTTCGACTATGAATTATGTTTATATTCACTGATTCTGCGAATGCAGCCATGCTTATCAAAGAGGCAACAAGTCAAATTATAAAAAAGCAGAAATGAACGTACAGTTTCTTTTTTGCTGTCTTTCACACCTTCTATACTGACTGAGACTTTTTCCCCAGATTTTGTGGCGCCAGTAACTTTGGTGTTGAGCAAGAACTTCAGCCCTTGTTTGGACAGAATTCGTTGTAATGCTTTGCTGATTTCCATGTCAATTCCCATGCCACCGACATGTCCCAAGAATTCGACGCACGTGACCTGTAATTGCATCAAGTTTGGATACATCGTAATACACACATTTGAAGAGTTATATGATAGACATACATTTTACTCAGGTAGAAGAAGAGCATATCACTGCCCGGTTCGATTAAATGTTTCGGTTATGTATTTGTATGTATTTCGTACCAAACTCCAAAGTAACTTCATGATTATGATTGTCTTCTACGGAGGCAGTCACAGACATTTATGGAGCCGGCTTTTCTTTTCCAAGGAGCCAACCGTAGTAAAGTAAGCAAAGTATAGAAGAATTGGTAAGGGGTGAAGGAGCGTCTGATGCAGAAAATATAACCAATCTGTTGAATTCCTGTTCTCATTTGTACACTCTTTTCTACTGCGGATTGCATTGAATTTCCATTGCAGCTCATGTGCCGCAATTATTAATCGAGTGCAGCGTACTGTTTTAACTTCGAGCCGCCTGTCACCGTCCCGTTTGTTGGTCGTAATACTGTTCACAATCCTTTTGGACACATGCATCAAAGGCCGTCAAGTAAAGAAGTTAAAAGGGAAAGCGCGAAAATTAAGGACCAGGAACGAACTGCGAAACTGAGGGGTGGGGTTATGAATTGGAGACGGTGAGAATGTGTAAGGAACAAAGGGCAAGCCATAGTGGAAGTGCCAAAGGTCAAACAGTAGAGATCGGGGTTGATTTATAAGCACACATCTAATTAAGATGCGGTTGGGGGTGCGAGATGCGTAGGATTAAGAGAAAGAGAAGAATGATACCACCAACTAAAATATGGATGAAGTTGAAACTGCGAGGTCAACAATATACGATTAGGAGAGTATATGGAACCGTGGGCACCACCGGAAGGCGTGGCAAATGCACGATGTATTCACGCCAACCTGTCTCAATCGATGAGAAAACTACTGATCCACGAAGGTAATGGCACATTGGTTTAATCGCCTGCTTTATACCCTGTGGTCCGAGGTTCAAGCCCCGCCACCGCCATCCGACTTTGTTGGTAGGCAGCTGTGCTGTTGTCCGGTTCAATACCACGCCTAACCTATCGGGACCTTATGTAGTTCGCCAGTTCAAGTTCCGGGGCTTAGGTTGCCGGTTTCCACCACTGAACAGCAGGTCCGCGTGACTATGGGGTTCACCCCGTCTGCAGTTCATCACACTTATGGTGTGTAATACAAATTTAAAATAAAACGATTCAAGTCCCAAGAGGAAACCAAACATTAGACCAAGACCGGTAAACCTTGTCAAACTCAGCTGGGGATCTTCGAGGTACCTAGGGCCACCAAATACGATTGACCGCGTTTTTTTTATTACACATGTGATGAACAGCAGACGGGGCTAACACCACAGTCACGAAGACCTGCTACCCCATCATGGAAACCGGTAACCTAAGCCCTGGGACTTGGAGTGGCGAACCACATAAGGCCCCGATAGGTTGAGCGTAGTATTGAACCGGACGACAGCAGAATGGCAATCATTCACGACCGTGTGACGTTTCAGGTGCGGTAGGCTCCGGGCACTGACCACCATGAATTGCATCTGGTCTGCCTCAATTTGTTTGACCACGATAAGCGTGATGGGTTTCTGGCGAAACTTCTTAATTTGGAACTCCTCCTCGTTCTATTACTTTCATTAACACAGCAGACGGGGTGGGCCCCACAATCGCGAGGGTTTGTGATCGAAACTGGCAACTTAGGTCACAGGAGTTGATGTAGCGAAACCCATAAGGACCGCTATTTCAATACTTTTTATTACGCACCGTTGTGATGGACAGCAGCCGCGGGTGGAATCCCATGGTCACGAAGAACTGGTGTGAAGTGGTGGAGACCGGCAACCTGACCCTGGGACTTGGAGTGGCGAATCCCATAAGGCCCCGCCAGGTCAAGTGCGGTATGGAACCGCGCGACAGCAAAGCTGCCTACCACCAAAGTTGGGTGGCCGTTCAACTTGTGGTTGATTCGTTCAACATCCACCCTTCAACCACTTGCCCATTGCCGTGCAATCGCCGTTTGACGTTTTTCTGTCAATGTCAATAAGGATTTTACATTGAAGAATATGTGGATTCGGTATCTCTACATTCATTTGCATTAAACCACCTTTGCGGGGTGGTACTAACGGTAGTCATGACGTCCCCTGTCCCAGAAACCGCAAAATCGTAACATTTCCTGATCTAACATTGAAGTGCGAAATTGTGTTTCGAACCATCATCTCTACAAAACAGCAATATGACTATGGGATTTAAGCCTTTACTGTACACCGTGCAGGTCATTTTTTATTACATACACTTGATTGATGAACAGTAGGCGGGGTGGACCACATAGTCACGAAGACCCACTGTCGAACGATGGAAACCGGGAGCTCGAGCCCCGGGGTAGCGAACCACATAAGGTCAGGTGTGGCATTGAATCGGACGACAGCAAAGCTGCTTCCCACCAAGTTGGTTGGTAGCGGCGGGGCTCAAACCCAAACCCTTAGGATCCGAGGCATACTAGTGACGGACAAAACCACAACAAAAAGTATTTCGGAAACACTATTCCTTTGATCCATTTCATAGTAACAATTTTGAGGTCTTACGAATGATTGAAGAAAGGGACAAGGGACGACAACTAGGTTGGGTATTGTCCAACCTGTCAATAATAAGGAAATATAACACCTGAGGGACAGAAATACTCCACAAAAGGAATTGGATCCAATTCGACGCACATCTTTCATCAGATTAGATGGAATATCACGCATGCAACAGGATGGCCTGCCATCAATAAGGCTTAGTTGACATTTCTGAGAAGGCTCGGAAGAAACAAAACGAGGCAACAGAGAATGCAATTAAGTGTCCGCCCTAACGTGACGGAGCAAGAATTGGAGAGTATAAGAATGAATGAAATTTACGACGATGTCTTTCACCAGAGACCAAAGAGTATGGTTAGCAAAGTAAGGTGCCAGATTTAGCTTTACGGTGAGAATTAAGTTTAAGTGCCGATCGAAGACAGTCTTTTTCCAACTCTTACCACTAATTCATTTTGGTTGTTACACCAAACTCTTGTTCGTTATATTATTTTCTACTCGCCCCCCCCCCTAATTTTCCCGTCATCCTTTTCAACTCATTGTACAGTTGTTTGTTGAATAGAGCATAGTTATTGGGTCCTTATCTTCCTCTCTATTCAACGGCTTCAGCAGTCATTCCACGCAAGAATGAACAGTCAGGTCTTGAACGATGAGGGAGGGAAAACATACAGATCACAGTAGGAAATCAAGATTTTCAGACTTTCAGATCACGAATATGTATATATATATATATACCGGCTTGAGATCAAGCTTGGTGCCAACGCCACAACATTAACAATAACAAGATCAGGAATGGAACTCCAGAAAGTGGCGCGTCACACTTCACTTTTCAGAATCAATGTCAGATGTATGGAATTGGAAGCTTCAACAGATAGGAAAACTAGAAGACAAAAACCTGGTATTTTAAGGGATAGAGAAATGATGTATCGGGCGTTCGTCAAAGCAAGGTGAATTAGACAACTGATTGTGATCGCGAACGCTTGTTTCTCGAATTAGATTAGTGGCAGTGGGTGAGTGATCGAGGCGTGCTGTGTACTGTGAAGTATTCAACGACGTTCGAAATGATTATTTACCAGGACCCGCTCGACAGGGTTGCCCTCTCTTCATTTCTATTTAACTTTGTCACAGATTTAATTCTTGAAACAGCTCTATCCCCGTGCGGGGATAGCGGCATCGATTTAATCCTATTTAGCAGACTGTCTGATCTAGAGTGTGCAGATGACATTGGGCTACTAAGTGAAGTTGCAAGCTTTTCTGGATAGTTTGGGCACTAGTGTAGCGATGTTTGGTATGCGTTTTGCACCTTCGAAGAGTAAAATACTGCTCCAAGATTGGGTTGGCCCAGTCCCTAACCTTATCCTGATCGGGGAAGCAGTAGAGAAAGTAGACAAGTTTTGCTATCTGGGCAGTTATATCTCACCTGGCGGACGTATCACAGATGAAGAGTCAGCTTGCATACAGAAAGCTCGGTTGGCATTTGCCAACTTGAGACATCTGCGGCGCCGTCGCGAAATCGTGGTCGTCCACTGGAACAGGTAGTCGACCTTCATAGATAACGCTGGTTGGAACATGTGCTACGCATGTCATCAGGTAGGTTGCCACGGCGAGCGATGTTCGTCGAGGTAGGTAGTGGGTGGAAGAAAGTCAAGGGTGCCCAAGTTAAGACCTGGCACGAGGGTATGAAAACCCTGATCAGGAGTCTGGGTCACGAAGATCCCGTTAGGCTCCCTGGCTTGGGACCCCGGGATGAACAGTGGCGTTTTTGCACCTTCTCAATTTCTTTGCAATCTTAGACCCCTGAACTTCTAAATTTTCTATTCGACTCTGCCTTCAACTTTCCTGTCTTCCATTATTTATCCAAATGGGCAGCCAAAAGACAGCAACCAAACCGGCGCACGAAAGTGCATGGTTAATGGTTGCTCAAACTGAACTGAAACTGGTTTGAGACACCAAAGATCATGCAAATCATTTTTTCGTAAGTTTATTGTACTAGGGTTTGTTTGCCACAGTTTGACGTCAGATGTGAGTATATATATATATATATATAAAGGTATATAATATATACGTGGTTTTTACGAAGATAACTTTTGAAACGTCAAACAAAATAGTTGAAAGTACAGTTCAATGTGAATAATGCAACTCATTGAGGGATGACGAAAGGCGACAAGAATGAAATCAATTTACTTACCTTGGCGCCAAGTCTACTCCACACAGAACCCAACTCAACTCCAATAACGCCGGCGCCGATAACCACTAGGTGTTCCGGCACTTTGGGTAAGGACAGTGCACCCGTGCTCGAGACTATGGATTGTTCATCTATTTCGATTCCAGGGAATGGAGTGACTTCGCTGCCCGTAGCGATTAGAATCCGTTCTGTACTTATTTTTTCTTCGCCACCATCCGACTTTTTCACTAACACTTCATTCGGTCCTGCGATCGAGCCAAAACCTTTTACGTGCTCCACCTAGTTTTGATAGAAAATAATTAGTGATTAACCCAGTTAATGACAAACTCATAATCACTGAAGAAAAATGCAAACGCATGAGTGGCAGTGACTCACTTTGTTTTGCTTGAAAAGGTAAGCGATTCCCCCGGTAAGAGCGGAAACTGACTTAGCCTTGGCTTTCATCATATTTTCCAGGTTAAGCTTAACTGAGTCCACATCAATCCCACGATTCTTCATTTCATCTGAGTGGGCCATATGGTACAAATGCGAGTTGTTCAATAAGGATTTGCTTGGGATACACCCCACGTTGAGACATGTGCCACCAAGGGTATCATCTTTTTCAACGCAAACTGTCTAAAAAGGGATGAATAAAAATATGTGTAACATGAACCTTCATTCCCAATTGAGACGCTTTAATAGCGGCGACGTATCCGCCTGGGCCTGATCCGATGACGACGAGGTCGACCTTCCCTGTGAAAGAACGTAAAGGACAAACAAGATTTTACAAACCAGAAGATGAAAGCATCCTGGGAAGCAATGACATGAACGGCCTCGATGCATGACAAACGCGCGAAAACGACAACACTCCCGCCATCACGACTGCAAGCGAAAGTTTTAATTAGCGCGCCACTCCAGTTCAGGTGAGGTCAGCTTGAAGTCTTGAAGTCTTGAAGTGACTCTCGGGTTCGAGGCTGGCGCCCAATGGTCCCGGATCCTTAAAATTCAAATTCAAATCACAGGACGTAGAGAGGCCTTCGCTGGTCGGGTGTCCTGGTAATGGAGGGTTCCGTCTATGGACCGACTCGCCTGTGAGTGTAAAGCTTCTTCCGACTCTCCACGAGGGAGTATTATCTGGAAGGTAGAAGGGAAAGGGAGACGGCGCAGTATC